CGAACACTGTGCAATGTGCCACGGTATATCTGATGTGCAACAATGGGGTTTTTACTTCACATGTCCCGGATCCTTATCTTTTGGCATTGACAGTTTTTTCAACATTATAGATGGAGACGATTTTGTGGAACAGGCAAGATCAACCGATGGTTGTAGCTTTTTCTTTCGCCCTCCAGTCGACATGCCCGGCAGACCGTGTATTCCATCTGATCTCATGCCAATTGTTGCAACATGGGGCCGAGGCATCACTGCATTGCAGTGTAGTCGCAGAGACGCCCACCCAGAGCTCAAGGAACTTTGTTGGACAGGACCAATTTCCGTCACTTATGTTCAGTGGTGGTCGCGGCGCTATTATGCAAGAAATGCCTTTTGTTGGCTTTGTATTTCGCCCAAGCATCTTCTGACGCATATAAGAAATTGTACAGTTTCAGGTAAGTTTATATCTTTTTGTCTCAGAAGAAAGGTGCAAACTTAAACTTACATTGTATACATCAAATATGTAAACAATAGCTACAACATATTCTACAAAAGTATTTTTAACATTTCAATATTTAAACAATATTATAACACTGTTCTTGATTTTGTCGATGTAAAGTTTCGGATATGAATTGGTAAGGACAAATTGTATTATAAGGTGATTGTTGTATTCTTCTCCCTTCTTCAATCCAAATCTTCTGATAGGAATTAGGGAAATGTAACTATCTGGTTGATAAACTGTCATCATATGGCAGTTACTGCTTTCCTTTTGCTACGCATCTATTTTCCTCTGTTAAAATATTTCAACAATATTTCTTGATTTTGTCAATTAAACGTTTTTGGTAGGATGTACAGAGTTGCTTTTGTTTTGATTGGGTCATAATTACGTCTATTTATATATTCCGTGCACCATTCGAAGATTACACTCTAATTCCAACGTTAAAATATGTAATAGACCAGTATGACCAGGGTCGCTTAGGGCGCATTCCCATAGATTTCAGATCGATTTATCCCCGTTTGGAGTCTCACTAGATTACTGTCAGATAATCTGGCTTAAATGTCCGTCCCGCCTACTACAAGCTCTAGTAAGATCGATCTAAATCTCTGGGAATGGCCTCTTAGAGATTTTAAACGAAATATGGTGACTGGTCTTATTCCCCGATGGACTTAGTAGGCACGCCCCCTTCGATTACTTATGTAAACAAAATGTTCTCTGCGGCGAACTGTCATTTTGTTTACCACCTTGGCACGCGCAGGGAATTATGTTATTAGTGCTTCTCACTAACTGCAGGTTAAATCTGTGTCATCTGTTATTTCTTTTAATTTGCTGTGTCGCGTGGTCAACTATTGAAAAAAGTACAGTGTATTATTTGTTTGAACATTGCCAACAATTCACTCTGTCTCTTTTTATTTCAAAAAGAACTGTTTTAAATTTTGTGCAAATAGTATTAATAGAAAATGAATAAATAAAGGAGGAAAGAAACTTGGCAGAAAACCCAGCGACTTGTATTTTCATAAAGTAAAAGTTACAGTCAAACGAAATAGATTTGTTAAAATTCCAGTAGCAATTTACATAAAATATCAGTAGCATCATCGCAACATGTCCGTAGTAGCCGAAGAAAGGACGAAGCAATTAAAATAGTAACAAAGAAATAAATATCGATATCGTAAACAAGCTTATTAGACGTAGCCTCACTTAATACAAATCACATGTACTGAAAAACGAAAAAAAAATGAAAATAGTCTAGTCAGAAAGTTACTTGATCTAAAGAAGCACGTCTTTGGGTCTGTTTGAGACCTGTTAATGTGAGGCCGGCGGGAAGGAACTAACATAAGAATGAAAAACAGAGGCCTCCCCCAATTACCATTATTAACGTATGAATTATATAATTTATAACCCATGCACTCGTCCCTGTTCTCTGTAATCCAAGAAGTAAACTGATTTCTGGTCAATCAGTATCCTTAATCCTGGGCTTCCTCTTTCTCAGATGAGTGTTGTGCAGAGCTCAATTTTAATAGGTTCAATTTTCTCAATATTTTAAGAAAAAACTATACATTTTCATAGATAATCATCAACCATGTGCCGCTTTTCGCAGTGCTGAACGACCCACGTTTTATGAGACACATCTTCAGTTAATTATCCGCAAGGTCTAATTGGGCTAGACTTTCTTCTTTATCCTGGTAAGTGCATACAATGTATTTCAACGGCTTGAGTAAAAATAATAATAATAATAATAATAATAATAATAATAATAATAATAATAATATTTATTTATAGTCTAAAATCCAACGTATGTTCAATAGACTTCACAGAATTTATGAAATTCATAATTAAAAGGGAAAAAATTACTTAGGGTCCTAAGATGAATAGAAGGAAAATTATAATAGAAAAAAAATGATAAATGATAAAAAGGAAAAATGATAAAAATAGATATATAAAATGGTTAAGAAGTGAAAATTAAAACTATGAACTAAGAAAAACTATTCGTAAAAAGTATTCTTACAAGAATTTAAAAATAATATTGCTTAAAAAGGCATTTTTCAACTTTTTGCTACTACTGTAGATACATGTATCTATCCCTTTCTGCACTTAGATTCGAAGATTGATTTGAGCAAGGTTAATTTTAGCCTTAAATGACTGGCCAGTCATAATAACAGTGTCCATCTTCCTATGAGATCCTATGGATATATCAACATCAGGTTCGCTTCAAAAATATTTTAGGGGTTAAATCATTTTAAGGCGTATGTAAGGTTTTATAAGAAGATGTGGATGTGAAAATAAGCATTTTTTGGGGGAATTGTAAACCCATGGAGTGCACCTTTAAGCGAGTATTATGGTGTTTGGATTTTCCAAAATTGGTACCAGTACAGAGTTATTGCGAGGGTCATAAAAGGAAGATTAAAGGTTGTTATGTCGAGAAAATTCGTTAATATGAGAGTTGGCGGAAAAAGCCTGGCTTGGAAGGATTTAAGGATAATAATGGTCTAGAACTGTAATTTGAACGCCTCTGTCGGTTGAAAGGACGGTATGTCGCCATGTGTTCACGATGAGCTCGGCGTGTCGTTGGTATTCAAAACAAACACTTGCCATAGCTTGTACCCTCTACGGTTGAATAAAAAATATTTTCTTAAATATTGCACCCAGGGGGGGGGGGGGGGGGGGGGCGTTTGCACCTCCTTGCAAGCACTGTGTAATCATGACTAAGGAAAACGGTTACAATCAGCACTTTTAGATTCAAGAGATACTAGCAAAGTTATCTGTTTTTCTTTTACACAGATCGTCTTTACAGAATGCTGTAAATATTACAAAGTTTAATCGAAAATACTATACGCTGAGATATCCTTCGCAAAAATTAATATTACTGACTTTTGCTGATTGTTTACTGTGTACTGATATATACTAAAACCTACCCACACAGATCTTGCGGGGAATCAAGATCATTCAAAAAGACATTGTTTTGTGGACTGAAAAAAATGGAGGTTGATTGTTGACTGGGAGATCTCTACAGAGAAGAAAGAAACCCCAAAGTAATGTTTTCTTTTAATGTTTTGCTTTAGAATCATTTGCCTCACTCAAAAGGCAAATGCACATAATAATAATAATAATAATAATAATAATAATAATTATTCAACTTTCCGTTAACAACCCCCCGTATTATATTCAGTGTATCTTTTTATCTATTCAGTATCAAGTCAATCCTTCGATCCGCCAGGTTATACTGTCCAGATCGACACCTCTGGGGCGCGGTATGAGAAACCATGTGAACGAAGCAGAGACCAGGTAAGCCGTTAATTTGAAGAAGCCATAGAGATTAAGGTTTTAGAGATAGGATTTCTGTTATGTTCTAATGACAATCTGCATTTTCTGTCCAGCAGAACACGGATGAGACAGAAGCATACACTCCTGGAGTGCATAGACAATTATTATGTAACACAAGCAATATGGTCACGTACGCATAGAAATTCTATGTAGGTTTTAGAGTAAACTAGGTGCCATATGTAGAAAATTTATAGCTGGTTATTTTTTTTAACATCATAAGACGCGGCTGCAGATAGCAATCATGTAATCCCTGCCTGGCAATATAGTGAAATAATTATACATCAATAATAAAAATGTCAATTTCATCCTATAAACAACTTATATCTTTTTTAATGTAGACTAGATTTTTTAATTGTGTATATTTGAGGTGAAACGCTTGCTTTCCAGGCACTTTGCAACGAAGAAAAACACCAGTGTTTTACTCCTATACGGTATATAGTCAATGCTGATTTTACCATCCCAGTCGCGCTTATGTCGGAACAAGAACAGAAGGCTTCTGCAGCTGAAGGCATTTGTGACGTGGACATAGCTTATCTATTCTCTACCAATGTTATCAAAGCTGTCGGAAACGGGACATGGCGCTTTATGGCTGACCGAAACACGTGTACACAGATGAGCCGCAATGCAGCAAACCCATCACTGGTGGCAGTCTTTAACTTCCAGGTCAGATTAACTAAAATGGTACGTGTAATGTTACGAGCGGAGGAGCGCACACCAGACGACACGTTGTAATAATTACTCAACTGCAGCACACAGCCGCGCTTTATTCTAATTGGATAATATTACATAATGTGCATGACGCACCACTATGTGACATCCCCCCCCTTTTAAAGGAAAAACTAATTAACATACAGACAATCACTTAACAATTACTTATATGTCTAGCTACAAAATGTGATACACATGCTTATCTTAAACATTGTATTACTACCTTAGTTAAAGTAATAAAATACAAATGAAGAGTGAAAGTTCTGTTATGATTGTCTTTGATCAGCAAAATGCATTTTATAATAAGTGCAATAACATTAAACACAACGTCTCTAAACAGTCAATGTTGATTTTCCTGAGTGCATAAAGTCAATGCAGTACTTTTCAACAGTGTTTTCTTACAAACACACATTTAAATGCATTACAGGCACTGTGTACAATCAACAAGTGTTTTTTTTTTTTTTTTTTTTTAATATAACAACAAATAAACATGCAGTCATTTCATTTCATAATCTGCTTGCCACTTAGGTGGATGTCTCTCCCGAGTACTACGCCTACACATTTGTGGCTGAGCAATTTGTTTTCCAGTTTCATTGTTCTGGTGCACTGTTTTACTCATACTAGTATCTGATGGTTCAGTGTCCATAACATGCGACTCAGGCACCGAGTCAGGAGACTTGTTTATCATGCGTTGGTTTCTACGATATGAATGTCCATCCGGAGTAGTCACCTCATATGACCTCGGCGTATTATGAATATCCGTCACTCTGGCATGTTCCCAATTTTGTCCTAAATTCACACGAACACTATCACCCACATTAAATGACTGGTGATATTTTGCATTTCTATCATAATAGAATTTCTGCTTTTGCTGACGCTTGCGCAGCTTTGACTGTGCATCATTTACCACCTTTGGTCGCAGCAAATTATTTGTAGTAGGCAATTTATCTTTTAACCTCCTACTCATTAACAATTGAGCTGGTGATGAACCTATACCAGCTAAAGGTGTATTTCTGTATTCTAACAAAGCTATGTGAGGATCTTTACCCTCTGCTTGTGCTTTCTTAAGCATTCCTTTAATTGACTGCACAAATCGCTCACTTTGACCATTAGACTGAGCATAAGTGGGACTAGTATAAACACAATTAAATCCCCACTCTTTCGCAAACTGCTTAAAAGTAGCACTATTGTAAGGCATATTATCACTAACTAAGGTATCTGGAATACCATGCCTTGAAAACACTGGTTTCATTGCTGCAATAACACCAGCTGCTGTTTTGTTTTGCAGCTTGACAACTTCAGGAAACTTTGAATAATAATCAACTATCAACAAGTAATCATGACCTGCAAACTCAAATATATCTGAACCCAGCTTTGACCATGGACGAGTTGGCAAAGAATGTGGAATCATTGGTTCCTTGGGATTCTGACGCGCATATGTGGCACATACTGGGCAATCAGCAATCTTGGTCTCTATATCCTTGTTGATATTAGGCCAATACATAATTTCAGAGGCTCGTGCTTTGCACTTTTCACTGCCGGCATGTCCTTCATGAAGTCTAACAAGCATTTCTTGTCTCATGGCAACAGGAATTATAAGTCGCTCTCCAGCATATATCAGTCCTTCCTCCACATGCATTTGTCCTCTTAAACTCCAATAGACCTGAATTTCTGGTGCTAGGGAAGACTTATGCTGAGGCCAACCATTCACAATATGGTTACGGACCAGCTGGAGGCTGCGGTCACTCTGAGTAGCATCTCGAAGTTCCTGAATCCTGTGCGTGGATGCTGGCAAATACTGGGTAACAGTATGAATCCTGTACTGTCCCTCTTCTAACTGAGAATCTATGCTCTCCTTAGATGTGTCATCAACATATGCACGTGACAGCGTGTCTGCAATGTACAACTTTGAACCTGGTACATATGTCACACATAGATTGTATTTCATCAATTTTAACAACATCATTTGCATTCTAGGAGACACCTGGTGTAGTGGTTTCCTTATAATTGCCTCTAGAGGTTTGTGATCGCTCTCCACCATAACCTCATTGCCATAAATATAATGGTGAAACTTTGTTGCTGCATACAAAATAGCTAAAAGTTCCTTCTCGATCTGTGCATATCTCGTCTCAGTATCAGTTAATGCACGCGAGGCATAAGCAATAGGTTGACCATCTTGTAATAGACATGCACCTAATCCTGTAGATGACGCGTCTGCTTGTATTGTCACTGGCTTGGCTGGCTCAAACAACTTCAGCACTGGTTCTTCTGAGAGTACATCCTTTATTTGTTGCATGGCAGCTTTCTGCTCTGGTCCCCAATTCCAAGGTACTCCAGCTTTCAACAAATTGCTGATTGGACTCATGGTAGCAGACTTATTTGGAATAAAAGGTGATAGGAAATTCAACATTCCTGTTAAACGCTTCACTCCCTCAGTATCAGTTGGGTCTGGCATTTCCAGAATTGAGCGAATCTTCTCTGGGTCTGGTCGGATTCCTTGTTCTCCAACGATCATCCCAAAATATGATACACTGTTTTGTTTCAACTGCGTTTTCTTGGCATTAAAACGAACATTGTTCTCCATGGCACGTTTAATCACTTCTCCCAGGATTTGATCGTGTTCCTCAACTGTCTCTGTTGCTATGAGAATGTCATCTGCTATAGCGTATGTATTTCTAATGTCACCAAAGACACGGTAAACATTTTTCTGCAAAATATCTGCAGCACTCGAAATTCCAAATGGCATTCGTCTAAATTTATAGCGTCCAAAAGGTGTGGAAAAAGTAGTAAGCTCTGAACTGGAGTCATCTAATTCCACTTGGTAGTAGGAATCCTTGAGATCGATGATAGTGAAGACTTTACTTCCTCCTATCTGCGCTGCTACTGATTCGAATGTAGGCACATCGAAGTGTTCTCTTCTTATCTCTTTGTTGAGATGTTGGGGGTTGAGGCACAACCTTATGGAACCGTCTTTCTTCTCTGTTATGACAATATTGCTAATGAAATCTGTGGGGTGATCCACCTTCTCAATAACTCCTTGTCTCTCCATTTCTTCAAGTTTATTTCTCAATGGGGCCATCAACTTCTGTGGAACTCTGTGTGTAGGAGCAATGTGACCCTTGGCACCCTGCTTCAATGAGATGTGATACTGCCCAGGGAACTTTCCCAGGCCTGTGAATGCACTTTTATAAGATCCCTTTTCTATTGAATCTTTTGTAATTGAAGCAGTTACTGAATCAAGATTCCTTTGTTTCTCCACTGAAACAAGACCTAGAGCAATGCAAGCTTGCAGTCCCAGCACTGGCACTGTTTTTTGTTTTGTAACAAACACTTCTCCAATGGTTTTACGTCCATTTGACATGCTCATATCTACTTTTGCTCTGCCAATGTGCTCTACCGCTGCACCACCAAACGCTTTAAGTATGGTATGAGATTGTTCTAGTTTGGGTCTACCTGCTATCTTTCTCCATATTTTCTGGGGTATTGAGCTGGTTTCTGCACCTGTGTCTATCTTCATTCTAATATGAGAGTCAGCTACCTTTACATTTTCAAACCATGCACGCTGATCTTCATTCCTGGACACACTGCCTATACTCAGCTCTATTGTTCCCATGAAACACTCATCACTGTGTTGAACTGCACTGTTATCATCATTACTTAGTTCATGGACATTTACAGTAGCTCTACAACAACTTTTGAAGTGGTTGTTACCTTTACACCTGTAACATGTCCGTCCCCATGCAGGGCAGTCTGTGTGCAGATTTGGACCATGGATTCTCTTACAACGTGTGCATAACTTGGTGTGTCGATTATCTTTCTTCTGAGAAAACTTCGTTGAGGGTTGTCTCTTACCCTTCTGTATCATGGATACACTGGAAGTTGCAGCTGCGGCACCACGTGCGAGCCCAGACATAGAGTCAACTTCCTGCTTTGTGATCTCCGCCGCCCGGCAAATGTCTATAGTTTTCTCGAGGTCCAAATTTTTCTCCCTTAAGAGTCTTTCCTGCAGCCTTTTGTCCTGTGTAAACACTATTTTGTCCCTTACCATGTTGTCGGTCTCAGCAAAATCACACTTTGCCGCAATGGCCTTGACCTTTACCAGGTAATCGTCAAAAGGCATAGAGTCTCGCTTTAAGTTCCAAAAGCTGAATCTATTAAAAACGATCCTCTTCTCACCGCACAGTTCAGTGTCAAATTTATCTAAGACTCTCTCGTAACTCTCTTTATCACCTGCTTCGTTCCAGTTAAACTGGTTGAAACGTTTTACTCCCTCCGGTCCCATGCACGTGAGTAGCATGGCGATTTTTGTGGCGTCTGTTTTCTCCACTGCTTCTTTGGCTACCAGAAAAAGTTGGAACATTTGTTTCCATTCCCTCCAATTCTGGCTAACATCGCCATCAAAAGAAAACTTTGGTGGGGGCTTGAAGTCATTCATCCCGATCCTGACACCATGTAATGTTACGAGCGGAGGAGCGCACACCAGACGACACGTTGTAATAATTACTCAACTGCAGCACACAGCCGCGCTTTATTCTAATTGGATAATATTACATAATGTGCATGACGCACCACTATGTGACAGTACGTGGTTATCGTGAAGGCACCAAGCTGTTTGCTTCCTACCGGGCAGAGTTCTCTAAGACGCTGAAGGCTAGAAGAGAGACGGTCACCTTAAACGGCAGAACATGTCTGGTCACCTTGCTGGATTCTGACGCGGACCACTGCCCAGTGGACGTCGACGCGACACAACGGAAACCACCGATAGAGGTGCATGACGGGAAAAATGGCACGGCTTCCTCATGTGCCAGGGATGGTCTGCGTGGTGATGCGCTGGTACACGCCCTGTTTGCTGTTTTCTCGGGTATTTTAGCTTGTGGGTGTTTGATCTAAAACATGCCGGTTTGATGGGAATGTAATCTTAGGTAGCCTTGTCAACATATTCTAGTCTTCTAGTTTGTAAATCTGTTCAGACTAGGGCCCGTGGACCATTTTAACTCACAAGTAAGGGAAACAAAGAGCTTTTGTCACTAGATATATCTATAGCCATTGGGTATCAGTTCATGTTCTTTAATATTTTTTCCCATTTCCACAACAACGTCGTTTCTAGTATGTCTGGTAGGCAGCACACCATACCTGGACCTAATCCGATATGCTTTTTTGCAATTAGCATGAAAACCTATGGTCTGGGAGTCGTCTTAGAAAGCATTACATAGGCGATACACAAAACAAAGTGATTTCGGCACACACAAACTATATATATATATATATATATATATATATATATATATATATATATATATATATATATATATATAAAACCAATTAAATTTTTGTAGATACATGTAACTTTTGTCAGCTTTTATCATTTTATTTGTTGCGGCATGCACCCGCTATAACGCCATTATTTCTGACCCGTCTCTCCTCCACGTTCTGCAAAATGCCACCTGATTTTATGCTTGGTGTAATTCCTCAGAATTAGGAGCTTCTCGGTTGATTCGCATGGATAATACTTTCTACCTGATGACTCTTTTAAAGGGGTCGAGCGTAACACTGAGTTACCATTAGAAATTGGTAATTTGTTTATATTGCTATAAGTCATTTTTGTGGTCCATAAATTTTTTATCTTTGCCTATTGGAAACAACATCAAAATGATAGAAATTATAAAATATGGAGTTGTATTAACTATTATCTATAGAGATACCTGGAGTATCTATTATTAGACGGAAATAATTGTACATGTCATTTTACATTGTACGTATATGTAAAAGTGTTTAGGTGTCAAGGTGTGAAGCAAGATGTCAATTTTTTTCGCATGAAATGATCGCCGAGGGTTTTGATTTAACCGCGCGATTGTAGAATAGGTGTTTTGGGATATAACTTGGTGCCGTTTGCACAGTTGCTAGGATAAGCTGACTAAAGGTACTGGCACACTTATTTCTTTTTATACTGGTATATACATGTATCAATATCATATTGCTTCGTCTCGGGTAATATTTGCTCTCAATGCGCCCTATTATTCGTAGTTTACTCGGGATTTTGTTATTTTTGTTAAGAGTTTTATTGAATTCAATTGATTGGTTTTGGAGTTGACTGACAGATAAAGAGAGGAGGCAGAGATAGAGAGAAAGAGAGAGAAAGATCAAGAGAAAGGTAGGGAGAGAAAGAGAGAAAGAGCGAAAGAGAGAGAAAGCAAGAGAGGCAGAGAGAGGGGGGAGAGAGACAGAGAGAGAGAGAGAGAGGAAAAGAGAGAAAAAGACAGAGACAGAGAATAAGAGAGAGGGAGAGTAAGAGAGAGATAGTAAAAGAGAGGAGGAGGACTGTTCACTTCTGTTGTAATGTAAATATATTCAAGACAAACATGTTCTAAAATATACTTTTTTGTTTATATTCTTGTATATTGTAAGGAATAATAACTTTAAGCTCAGGTCTGACCATAGTGGCATGTGCATAGAGGATTTGATTAATTCGTTTGGAAGACGTATATACAAGTTATGTCGGACGCAGGGTCCAGTGGATTGGTCAGTAAAGTAGGGTTACTGTCTGTTGACCAGAGGTCACGGGGTCGGTCCAGGCCCCATGAGGCAGTTCCCGCTTGATGTCAGCATGTTACCATGAGTAATAAATTACTGAAGTTGCATCACTAGTTGTTATGTTTTTCTTTAAACCAAAATGACAAATGACCGGGTAATGAAAACTGCGATCCCAAAGGATGAAAGGCTATACTTGAATTGTCATGCAATTACTCAGCTTACAGCAACAATATGAGAAGTACGTGTTACCGCAGCTTATATTTCTCCATAAGTTGTCTTCCAAAGAAGAGCAGATCTTTATCTTTATCACACAAGGTAATAATCGCTGGATAAGCTCTCCTGATAATTTGATGGTTTATTTCTCCGGTGTTCCTAATCTTCTTAGTGTTTTCGAAGAAAGGTACAGAATGCATCAGATAGCCTACAGAAAGACGGATAAAATCTTCATACCTAATCCACTCTTATGTTGCAGTGTTAGATGTATCTCAACTTGCTGTCACTCCTTAGAGATAGCATTTCACCTCAATCGTCTAACCCAACAGAAACGTTGTTCAAGATAAATATTCATTAATCCAATGTCACTCATTAAATGCAGTATTAACAAAATTGGGTATCCGGTGAAAATATCGATGCATAATATAGAATTAATAATGTTATGAAAGGTAGATGTAAACTAAAATAAGCAAATTTTAGTTAAAAGAGAATGTTTTTGACGAATGAAAACGGTGTAAAACACGTTAACTGTTCTTATAATCTAAAAGATTAGCTATGTCCTATGAAAAGTAATAAATGTAACAGCGACACTTTACTGTAGAATTTTTCGCGCTTATATGGTCCAATTATGGCACCGACAGATGTGAGTGACAAACCTTTTTCTAAACTCTGGAAGGGGAAGATATTGTGCAGAGCTAGAACTGTGTTGTTCATGCCTGCATGGTGTTCGGCATAGTTTCCCAAAGTTTGCTTAAGGGAAGAATATTTTAATATTTTGCAGTTGAAACTGCAACAGCATGTTTTTGTAGTAAAATGTAATTGATAAACAAGGCACTTCAAATGCATTAGGGCACGAACCCCAACACTTGCACAGTTTAGAACCTGTCCCCGGTTTCACAAAAAAAAAAAAAAAAAAAAAAAAAATAATAATAATAATTAAGTCAGGCTCCCTGGCTAAGAACTTAATTACCAATGTTACATGGTCACATGGGCACTCTCGTGGAAATCCAAGTCAACTAAGCCAGGGAACAGTTTTTTTATTTTTTGGGGAAACTGGGGCCTGATGTCAAAACATATGAGTTTTTAAGTACCAATATCTCTAGTCTGTATTTTTATGAAGCACAAATATATTGGATGGTAAGATCAGACAAATATAAATAGCTATACACAAAAGAATCATCACAAGTCTATCAAAATAACATAGCTAATGAAACTGTTCTACATCATTTTCTTTGTTTTTGAAAAACTTATGTTGTCTGTTTTGATTTTCAGTCGCGTCTCATCTGATAGGTAATAGTGCACTCCTCACGCCGATAGTAAACCTGGCGTCCATTTCTAACTACTTTCACCATGTGTCATATTTCTTCTAAATGCGCCATATTCTTCGAAGAACAATCGGAATTGTGCTATATATATTTTTTTCGATCAACCGGTATTAAATGGACCATTGGGTAAATGAACTGAGAGAGAGAGAGAGAGAGCTCTTCATAATAGAAGATACGAGTATCAACTGGTCCAAGGATCAAATATGCCAGACCCTTTATGAAAAGAAAACCGTTTAATCTTTTCTCTCCGCCTCTCACACTCCTCCGCACGTGTCCGGTCGAATGGAGCCGAGAGTTACAGTGCCCTTGCAGGGACGACGCGCGAAAGAGAAAAAGTGAGTGTAAACAACCCCTCAAAAATTTGAACTTACCTCATCTCCCAGAAACGGTTGCGGTAAAGAATTACAGCTATACAATATTATGTTAGTGAGGCAGCCTTTCGTCAGAGCGATTTTTAGGCGAGCATTCCATCCTTGACTGCCTTCAAACTCGTCTTCTTTTGTAGATGACATTTCTGAAAGAAAAAATGGTCAAAAATGGAATAAAATTGTTAAACCGATCAAGTACTGGAAGACATTGGTCAAAAAGGTTGTCGTTGTCCCACCGCCAGTTTCATGTGCTTTCATTTGTAAATGATCATATCACAGGATTTAATTACTAGGAATGGTTATTGTCATTCCAGAAACCATCACTATTATGATTAGTGGTACAGAAAATACAAACTAGCGGTGGAGATATTCATATTTAATACCATCTGTTCACATTTATTACATGTACCCCCCTCACATCCGATGTTCCACTGTCATTTCCACAGAGGTTAGGAAATGCCCATAAAATTAAGAAGACACTACCAAGTGTCACTAAACTTAAACGCATTTAACATTAGGATGTGCCTATTAAAGGTCAAGTGTCTATTAGCGTTTGTGTTTACCGCGTACTGTGATTATTTCCTGTAGACGGCGCCGCTGCCTTCAACAAAGGTAACAATTCTGTTTTGTTGGATGTTGTACCATGTTTCCTAAAATCTTGGGGGAATCGATCCGGACTATTTGGATTTTGGTTCTCCTCTGGATTGCACGCTTCAATTCATGTCACGGGTGCTCAGTATAGGTTTATTATCAGGACTCAAAGATGGTTTCTCCAGCCTCAGAACATTGGGTTTCTGCAACAAATCACTCACCAGACGAGAACTGTGTGCAAGTGTGCTGTCATGATGATCCCTGAATTACCCCCGAAGTCCCCTCTTGTAGATGGAATGAGGTATCAGTTGAGAATGTAGGTTCAGTGACCCCAGAACTACCAGAACTTGGTCAGCCACCACTAGGAACAAGTTGGTTTTGCTGAAAAAATCAAGGCGTTTCTTTTA